ATCTTCATACTCTGATGATGGAGGCAGTATGACCTCTGAAACGTTGGTTAACATCGACCAGACTACACAGCGCAATAACCCAGAAGACAGAAATCTTCATACTTTGATTAGTTTCCATTTAGTTACAGGCAGTGTGATAAACATAAGCAGTTTTCAGTTGAAACCCTAGCTGATATTAGAAATAAAATGGGTTTTGTTTTTGTGTGTACTGCATTTTAGAAAACTTTTTTACAGGTTTTTACAGAGCTAACTACGATTTAACCAACTGGAGACTTCTCATAGAATATTTGATGGACAGAGACCACTTCAGTCAGATTGGTATAATAAATAGGGCACAATTGTTAGATGATGCACTTAATTTGGCTCGTGCGGGCCTGCTGGATTATGCGACTGCCCTAGATGTCACTCGCTATTTGGCTAATGAACTGGAGTACCTTCCATGGAAGGCAGCCCTCAATGCTCTCGCGTATATTGACAGTATGCTGATTAAGACAGGCAACTATGATAAATTCAAGGTTTGTATGTGTGACGTATATAATTGTTGGGCAAACAGTAAACTGCTGAAAGAGACATGGCAGGCTGCCCAAGCAGGAACAGATCTCTTGCCCAGTAATTCTTTCCAGTTTTGGTTTCAGCGATGGGTTCAAGAACAGAGTTTCCAAATAACAACTTGTAGATCCTGCTGTCATGAGCCATCGGCACAAAACTAAGTACACTTGATTTTGCCTGGGTGGTTCTCCGTTCTTGCAACTGAGTAGACTTATTTCTGGCTTTAATGTTTTATTGTGCAAATTATACCCACAACACTAGCTGAGACAATTAAAATGTTTTTAAATGAAATCCACGCTTCTTTAAAGGCATAATTATTAATCTTTTATCTTTTTAAAGGTCAGACATGATAAAAATCTATGATACAACTATATTTTTTTACATAAATATGCTTATAACTCTACAATTTTAGAAAAATTCTGCCGTCTTCAGGGATGTCTGATTATATTAACACTACAAGAAGTTTTTCATCTACGACAAAATTTGTTTGTATTTATTCCTTTAATGGGTGTTTAGATATCTTCATGGAGATCAAAATTGATTACTATATATATATATATATATGTAAGTTAGTTTCTCATCCCTGTATTGAGGTAGTTACTGATTAAATTAAGGAACAAACAAATTATGGTAAACATTTTCAACTAAATGCTATTTAATTTAAATTGTCGTCAGATATATTTGCTCGGTCTACTGGAGAACTTGTACAAACACACTGGTTTCACTGACAACCCAAATGACCCTCAGCTGACTGTGTACAAACGTGTTAACATCCTCAGCTGGGCCTGCAGTCTTGGTCATGAAGATTGTGTGCGCAACAGTGTCTTACAGTTCCAGAACTGGAGGAGCTCACCTGATCCTGACCGCAGCAATCCGTAAGCTGAATGTCCTGTTCAGTGAAGCTTAGTAGAACTCTTGAGGATTCTTTGCCTTCCTTCTTTACCAAGAATTATTATTCCTTTCACATTCGACTTTGTAAACCAGGTCCATGTTATAATCTTCAAATATTAGTTAATTTATCATTGTGTTATAAAGCTGCGTTATTTGAATTTTGAGTGTTCTTCGATGCTGCTCCTTTCTAGAAATAAAGATAAAGAATGTATTTAAACTATCTGTTATAGATAATAAGGCAGCTTTATGAATGTGAACACAAAATAATGTTTTATATTATAATGTGATAACAAATATTTTCAAAGGGTATAGAACATCCACTTATGATTTGTGACTTCTGTTTGAGCAGCATATCGGCCAACCTGAAGAATGTCGTGTACTGTACTGCAATCAGTGTGGGTGGCCAGGATGAATGGGACTTTGCCTGGCAGAGGTATCGCAAGACAAACGTAGGATCAGAGAAAGATATACTATTGGGAGCACTTGGCTGTAGTCGCGAGACCTGGATTTTGAGCAGGTATTGCTCTCTGCATTTAATAAAACTCATTACAAAACAAAATTTCTTACATAGTGTGAGAAAAGAAGGTAATTCTTGTGAATATTTCATGAAAGTGTGGTGTGAGGAACTGAAATGCATCTTTCTTAAACAGAAACAAGAACATTTTATTTTAGAGTGTGTGACAACTTTTCTTATGCGGGTACCAGCAGTCCCTTTGTGGGCTGATAACAGGCCTTATCAAACCAAAACAGGCCTGTGAATAATTTGTATTGTTATTTTTAGGTGTGTTCGCACTGAAGTTGCAGAAATGTGCCTATTTGTCTGTCTGTCACAACTCAAGAAATTCTAAACAGATTTCCACGAAATTTTATATTGGGGATTTTGGTGTTATTCTAGGTTATGAGGCCATGTGGACTTGTAGGTAGATTTCAGTATTTCAGAGAAATTCTCTGTCTTCAGATTCAAGGCTGCATTTTGCCCACAGAATGAAATTACGAGTTTTGTATGATTTTCAGAATAAACAGAAAATATTTCCCTAACATCATTAACCAGTTGATGTATTGTGTTTTCTTTGAGATACAGACTGAATTTTTAAATATTATTTGGATGAATTTCAAGCAGTTAAATCGTATATTGAAAAATTACTCAAGTAAAATCAGCATCACATCTTACCAATGACCGATTTTGCTAAAGAAAATTAATAATGTTTAATAATTTAATTAATACTTAAAATTAGTTAAATATATAATAATAAAATTAATAATATGTGAATCTGATTTCAGTAGTGAGTCAGTAGTGTTTTTAAGATCTACCGTAGAGAAAGAGTGGATTAAAATCTGCATAATGTGAGGCTGTGTGCAGTGCGTCTATCTCGGGGATTGTTTACTGGTGTGCTAGTGCAACACAGCAAGCTATAACATTTCAGTACATTCATTTGTAACCTTGTATCCCATGTGTCAGTAAGTAAGAGTAATATGGCTGTAGGTATGGGATGTTAATTTGACGTGTTACTATGTATTTGAGAACGGTGTACCGCATTACAGATACTTGGACCGGGCTGTGAGTGAGAAGTCTGGTATAAGGAAGCAAGACGCAGCTCGGGTATTTGCCGCAGTAGCTAGCAATTCAGTTGGTCAGCCTCTGGCTTACAGCTTCCTGAGGAACAAGTGGTTTCGTGTCCATGAATAGTGAGTGTGTGATATTTACTTGCACACATTTAAGAAGCAGAGATTTAGTATTTTTAATTATGATACAGAATTACAAAACATAAATATCACTGTGGATGTTTGTACAAATTATGTTTTGAAAACATTAGTAAAATTATGGTATAGTAGTAACAAAAGTTTTGTTGTAACTTCTTGAACAATTCTTTTTTTAATTTGTTTTACAACTCCTCTTTTAAGAATGGCGTGACTGGTTGTCTTAAATGGCTGGTGCATGGAACTGGCATTGACATTTTCATTCTATTGTGTCTTAATTTCAGTCTTGGGTCATCTCTGTTCACTATCAGCAACATTGTACGTAGTTGCACCAAGCGAATCAACTCTCCATTTGAACTCAGTGACGTGAGTATTTTAAAACAATGCAATCTTCAATATGAAACTCTAATTTCTGTCTTCACAAAAAGGCAGCCTCTCCAGTTTGTGAGCGAAACTTAAAAAGAGATGAAGTCTTCTCTACTAGATTTGTTGAGCAGAGCCCACAAGGTCACTGATTGAGTGAATGGTCCAGGTCTTGGACACAGAGAAAGTACATCATGTAATGAACGCATGATGGAATATCATATCCATCCATGTGTTGCATCTGTATAATTACTTTTTAATTAAATCTTATATTGAGGGGTAGGAATTTTTTTATTTTTATTCTCATTGCTCCGATATAACGATTACAGAACACATTTTTGGAACGTCTCTCCCCTCAAAGATGATTGTTGCTATAAAATATATGAATTAAAGGCATTTGTGATTTAAAAATGCTAATAAGTTTATTGCAGTTGTTCCAAATTCCTCTACGTAGATAGAAAGTTTTTGAGTAGGGATGTGGTGTGCCTACATTATGCATCAGATTCTATGAGCTTTTGAGGGGTAAATTAATGTCTAATTTTCTAATTTGCAGCGAAAGAAAGTATCTGAGAATTTCTCTTCACTTTGTCAATCCTTGTGTGTGTGACAGTTGCTACTTTGAAAAATCTGGGTTGTTGAGTTCTTGGTCTTTGTCCTCTGTTGATTGTCCGACGTTATAAAATTTCACACCGCTTCAAGATTCGATCTGTTGTCGTCTTCAGGTGAAGGGTAAGGGCACTTATTCTATGGGGTCCGTTAGAATGAGCTAATCTCGATCACTGGGCCCTTGAGTAATTTTATAATATTATACAACGGACAAAATCCAAATTCCTAACAATCCGGATTGTATTACACCATAATCCAAATCATTCAGAACACTTTGAAAAAGTTCATCAAAGAACATTGCTCAAGCCTAGAAGCAATGGAAAGACGATGTGCGTTTGTGTCTAAGTAAGTGCATTTAATGGGCCGAGCATGTAATTCAGATGGGCAGAAAATAAATACATATAAAGAAGTTTGATGCGGAAACCTTTCGGAAAACAGTCGCATGCAAGATTGAGTAGGCATTGATGAGATAATATTAACTTTATTGGGCATGCGATATGCAGTCCAGCTGCCCGTGGATCACAATACTATGCCGCTAAGTCTTAAGCAGTCGGCAACCCTCTTTTGTTTTAGAATAAGGGTTGATGGATTTTACTGGAATGGATTGTGAAAATGTAGCTGACTTGGTTTTGTGTCTACTGACAGGCTTTGGTGATATTGTTGTTGGAAGTTTGGGGTCTTATACCAGAAATTAGCTAACCACTACGCAGTGTTGATTGTTTGTAGATGATTCATACATCTTGCATCTGTCTGTTCACAGCTGATGCAGTTTGCATCAGTTCACCATCACGAATTGGGCGCGGCAACACGAGCCATGGAACAATCGCTCGAACAAGCGGGAGCCAATGTTAAGTGGATGGAAAGCAACTATGAACCTATTGTCAAGTGGTTGGCTAATGTTACAGCTGTGGCAGCGAGTTAACAGGAGCATAGTCTTACGCAGACAATTGTACATATTGCTAACAGAACGTTTCCATCAGTGAATCTTATATTGACTGCACTATAAATATTTTACATAACCTCAAATTGCTCAGATATGCAATGTAAGACATCTTCAGTTGATAGGGAATGAAGAAATTATCATCACGGTCATTTGTTGAATAGTGACGATCTTGTAAAGTGCTCCATTCCTCAAGAGAGAAACTGCTTAGAGTAGAAAATAACATAGTTTATTTAATTAATAAGATTTGTCAGGGAGAGCGTATTTTTAAACATGTTTCCTACTTCACACGTTAAATGTTACTTAACTGACGGCATCTCATTGATGTTTTGACACTAAAGATGGTGATATGGTGGCAGCTTCTCAAAATATTGTGATTATTTTATAGTTGGAACTGCAGTGTAGTCCATAAATTCTAAGTTCTCACAAGAGTTGACAGAATTCTCGTGCTTTAAGCGTGAGATTTAATTAATTGGTGAAGGCATTGTACTGTCTATGCATCATATATTATTAGTGGTTGATGAACCACAGATTGACAAGTTTACAGCATTTATAATATATCAGTCAGGCATTTCTGAGATGGGCAAGGAGGGATCTGCCTAAAACTCAATGTTCGGTTTTGCTTATTGTAACCTGATGAAACACAGCGAGGTTTGTATGTCTGTCGTGTGAGTTTTGTGGATCTGATGGTAAAACAGTTCTTTATGTTCCATGTGTTTCGAGGAAAATAAAAGATGTCAGGGTAGAATCTTGTCGGCTGTTTCTGTTTCTAACTTAATTCCTATAATCCACTGGTTGTTCACATTAAAAATCACGTGGATGAGACTAATGTGGTGGTTGGTGTCAGTTGATCCAAACACAGCTCAAAATTTGAGGAGTATGTTCCCTTATCCACAACCAAGGTTTTAACCCCTAAAATAAATCCTGTTTTTGCACTTCATCATTAGTGATGAAGTTTGCCCTGCTCACCTGTGGCCTGCTTAATCCAATTTTTGCATACCTCTGATAAAATTTGTTGTTGCTGAACAGAGAGAAAACTGTCTTGCCTTACATCAATGTAAATCTATTACTCACGTACTTACTTATTCCATGGAGCTGAGTTCTTCCTAAGAAGCCAACAGTTGTTTAGTGCCTCAGGATATTCCAAACATTTCATGGAACCCAAAGGTTCATTACCACGTTCATAAGAGAACACCACTGGTACCTATACTTAGCCAGATGAATCCAATCCACACCACCCCATCCTATTCCTCAAAGATATATTTTAATATTATTCTCTCATCTATATCTTCCTAGTGATCTCTTTTATTCTCGTTTGCCCACCAAAATTCTGTATCCATTCCTCTTCTCTCCCATGCGGGCTACGTGCCCTGCCCATCTCATCCTCCTTGATTTAATCAATCTAATTATATTTGACGTGGAGTTAAAACTCGTGAAGCTCCTCATTATGCAGCTTTTTCCAGCTTCCTAGTATTTCAGCCCTAATATTCTCTTTAACACCCTCAGTCTATGTTCCTCTGTTAGTGTCAGAGACCAAGTTTCACATCCATACAAAACTACAGGCAAAATTATGGTTTTGTATATTTTTTAATCTCTATGTTTTTAGACAGCAGACGAAAAGACAAGCGGTTCTGAACTGAATGATATCGAGCATTACCCATGTTCAATGTGCTCTTAATTTCTTCATGAATCAAATCAATACGCAATGAACATGTTAAAACAGTATACAAAATCAACATTTAGGGTATCCTCTATATATTACAGAGAATGGGTAATGAATTAAAAGATGTTTATTTATTAATAATACGGCTTTAGAAGAGTGCAAATACGACCAAGCTGATAATACATAAGACTATGTAACTTTGGGTTTCGAGTGAGACTCATAGCCCTGATGATAAAGGCAGCAAGAACCTTTTTAAATGGCGGCAAACGTCTACCGGACTACATGACGCTACAACCCAGAAGACGGCTATCTTCATGTGTACAGTGCTCAACATGTTTTGAAGAAGGAGCATCAATATGTCAGGAAGGATTGGAAAATAACTGGTATGAAGTATTCAAAGACAAAAAACAAACTAAACTTAAATCCGTACCTCAAATAAATGCTTCTCTTTCTGCTGAAACTAAATTCTGGAACCCTGGTCTTAAAAGGCAAAATGCTGATGTTGGGATTAGTCAACATAACCTTCATGCTGAACATAAACCAGACCATTGCAGGTGGTGATGGAAGATTATTCAGATGATGTAAAAATCGTACTGCGTTTATGTCAAACCTCTCCCACCTATCATCTGTCAAAGTTAGCCGGTTGATCTTAACACTGTACCATTTCTAA